TTGCTAGAATCCCGAGCGGAAACCAAGGCACGAATGAGCAGTCCCGCGGGATGTGATCCCGCGTGATTGTACGACAATTCGGCACAACCCAGGGAGGGTAAGTAAAGGTGGGTGTAACTCTATTCTAGTTCTTGCTTGCAGTCCGGCTGAAGGAAGAATTTTGTGAGCAGAGAAGGAGGCAACTTTCTTGCGATCGATCTGTTTCAATGGCTTGAAAGGAGAGTTGGACCGGTCTTTCATGTTTTGTTCATTCAAGGTTGTATCTGTGAGCGGTCTTTCGTGGCGGTGCTATTGCTTAGAGCCGATCTTGCGAAGGAAGGCAGACATAGCGACATGTATGTGGGGTATCCATTTCAGGGACAAGTGATGACCTGAGAGATGTAAGATGTACTTGATGTAGGACAGTAGTGGGAACGATTTTGTTTTGTGAGATGGTACAGTTTGACAACTGTGAGTCGAGTCAATAATCGAAGAACCCATGAGGTTTCAGGTTTCCACGCCAGTCAGCGTGGACAGATAGGGATCAGGATCGTTGTCCTCTTTGGCGTGCGGCTGCTCGACAACGAGCGCCGACAAGCGGCGCTCTCCTAGACCAGCACTGCACACTAGTTGAGTAGATGTAGGGTGGTGGAGAACTCGGCATTTACTGAGCCGGCCGTCTCCGCTACCCAGGGGTCCGCTCGTGATTGCTAGAATCGCGAGGCGGGAACCAAGGCACGAATGAGGCAGTCCCGCGGAGATGTGAGTCCCGCGTGATTGTGAGACATTCGGCCAATCCAAATAGCCAAAGGCAGAACAGGGTGGGAGCGTGGCGGGGTGGGAAAAGTTTGGAGAGACCGAGAGGAGGCAAGGTCTCTCGGGAGAATGGTTGGACTAAGGGAGATTATTCCTCGTAGAGTTCCACATGAAGGAGGATCTCTGCGACAGTAGCAGGCGCCTGAGCATGCGGGAGGAACTTGTCGTAGAATCCCGCTGGAAGGTGTAGGACCTTGGGCCAGCATTTTCTGGTAGTAGTGGTGCGTGATAGTTGCGGCCTGGATTCGAAGAAAGCGCAACATGGCGTCGGACCTCACGACGGGAGGCGGGTAAATGATGCATAAGAGTCAATGATCACGAGCGGCACCCCTGGGTAGCGGAGACGGTCGGCTCAGTAAATGGCCGAGTCTCTCCACCACCCTACTCTACTCAACTAGTCGTGCAGTGCTGCTCTAGGCGAGCGCCGCTTGTCGGCGCTCGTCCGAAAAATGTTTTTGGGCGCGAAAGAAAGGGAAGGCGTTGGCAACCAGTCATGGCTTATTCGTGACTTACACAAGTACGTGTTTTTGACACCAAAAACAGAGATCGCGATCTTTTTGAGCTCCTCATCAATCCTTTCGCTGTGTCCCTGCGACGGGTACTGACGATACTAGTAGAGCGCTATCAAGGGGAGGAAGCCCAACTGGGAACGATCAGGCTCCTTGTGACGATCTGATCTGCTTGACCACCACCATTGCTGCCATAATTCAATGAGTTCGAATCTTCTCGTTGCCGCTGGAAGGGTAGCTCGTATCCTTAGTAGGACAAACAAAGCAGTTTCCAACATGAAACTCTATCCAGGTCTCCTTGTGTATAGCAGCATTGCTTTGGGGCATTCTGCTGCAACGGCCTTTGCTCCTTCCTTTCCTTCATCGGCTCGTCAATATGGAAGTACTACCAGTATTATCTCTGCCAGCAAAATGGACCAATCCTTTCCCACTTGGTCGTTTGACAAGCCGTGTCAAACCATGGCTTGGAATAATGTCGTGGACACATCTCTTACCGTGGGTGTGGCCGATAAGAGTCTCGCCCAAGATGCCGACTTGATCATCATTGGTGTTTATGCACCTCCGAAAGATGACGAAGAAGAGGAAGATGATGAAAAGGAGGAGGACGAAGCTACCGTGGCGCTTTCTGGAATGGCCAAGGAACTTGATGATAGTTTGGGTGGAGCTCTATCCGATCTCATGAAAGACAATGCGAAAGAATTTAACCATGGTGCCGCGGCAGGATCCACCACTCCCACGGCAAGAATCATCACGGCAGATGGAAAGGTAGGTGCCAATTTCACATACGGTTCTCAATGCCTGTGTGTGTGACTGTGAACAAGAGGGATATTTGTAGAGCTCCATCCTGATCAATGTATTTGTCTTCTTTATGGATTGCCAATCACCCAAAAGACCAAGAGATATGTCATGCTAGGTTTGGGACCCACCCCTAAGGAAGACGAGGATGAAGAGAAAAAGGAAGAAGCCAAAAAAGGTGCTGGTCTTGGTTTGGGTAAAGCGATTGCCACCAAATGCGATGCCGAAAAGAAAGTTGCAACTTGTAGCGTTGTCATGCCTCAAATCGATGCGCCAGTCCTCCAGGATTTGTCCACTGGATTCTATCAAACCCTCTATTCCGACAATCGATATCGAACAGGAAAGAAGCAAAAGAACATGGCCGAAGACTTGACAACCGTTTCCGTTCTTTCCGAAGATGCCGATGCTGCCAGCATTTCGGATTCCGTTGTTCAAGTTGGCAAGAGCATTGCGCAAGGAGTCTTTTTGGCCAAGGATATTGTCAATGCACCACACAATGTACTCAATTCCGAAAGTTTGGCCGACACAGCAAAGCGTATTGCCAAAGAAAGTGGTGGACGTATCAAATGCAAAATATTGGGCAAGAAAGAATGCGAAGAACGCGGCATGGGGTCCTACCTGGGCGTGGCACGTGGATCCGAGACGGATCCTCAATTCATTCACTTGACCTACTCGCCACCCTCGGGAAAAGTCAACAAACGAGTCGGTGTTATTGGAAAGGGACTCTTGTTTGATACGGGAGGTTACAACATTAAAACCGCCATGATGGAAATGAGTGAGTTCCTTTTGAATGAGAATTAGAGAGAGAGAGTACAATGTTGATTCTACGAAATCTTCATGACGATGTAAGCTAACTTTCCTTCCTCTTTCTCTTCACACATAGTGAAATTTGACTGTGGAGGTTCCGCTGCGGTACTCGGTGCTGCTCGTGCCATTGCTGAAATTGCTCCAGAGGGGGTCGAGGCACACTTTATTGTTGCGGCATGTGAAAACATGATCAATGAAAAGGCTATGGTACCCAGTGACATCTTGACAGCATCCAATGGCAAAACCATTGAAGTACTCAACACAGACGCGGAAGGAAGATTGACACTTGCAGATGCCCTTGTGTACGCTGACAAAGAATGTGACTGCGAAAGCATCATTGAACTCTCAACCCTGACTGGGGCGTGTATGGTAGGCAAAAGTCTTTTCGGAGTGTGAGCTCCTTAGTACCAGCTGTTTGCTGAAACCTCTCACCATGATTCTTGTTGACTCTGTACTTTTCCTTTCAAAAGGTTGCTCTTGGAAAGGAAGTTGCGGGCGTTTGGACCGACAATGATGACCTCGCAACGGAACTTGCCGACATTAGCAAAGTAACCACTGACAAATCCTGGCGCATGCCGATGGAAAAAAGCTACAATAAACAACTAGAGTCTAAGATTGCTGATATCAAGAACATTGGCGATCGATGGGGAGGAGCCATCACCGCAGCCCTGTTCCTGCAAAACTTTGTGTCCAAGAAAAAGCCTTTTGCACACATTGACATTGCAGGTCCTGTGTGGGACGATGGATCCGGAGCCACAGGTCACGGAGCCAAGTTGGTGACACAGTGGGTTCGCCAACAAGGTGAAAAAGAAAAGGAAGAGTAATTTTCTAATAAATAATATCGGGCAAATTGCTAAGGAGCAATCGTTTTTGGCCGTGTAGTTGGCGTCTCTCATTTATGGACCTCGATCTCTGCTTGACCTTCCTTCGACACGTCACAAGCTTGCACCCTAAACGTTTTTGGCAGTCCTGTACTATGGCATCAAGCACCCAGTTTTTTGCACCACAGCTCCAATGGTCTCGTGGGCAAGGATGGCTCAGGAGACGTGTGCGCCCTGAAAATCCAAAACTGTCACTGTTTCCTTCCCATAGAGCGGTTCCCATTGATTGTTTTGCAGTTTTAGTTTTGTCAATTGAAGGGAGCGAACTTTGCCACTTTCAGGGGGCAGCAGATTGTCAACTATGGGCCTCCTTCGGATTCATATTGATAACATTCTTGTTGCATTTCACGAGTGGCGCTGTCGGATTCTTATAAATAACATTCTTGTTGCATTTCACGAGTGGCGATTTTCCGTACAGTTCTCATCAATGCCTTCCACTCTTCTACATTCTGACTGTCCGGCAATGCACGAGAGTAGGCACCGACTTTGCGACCCGTGGGCCACAGCTGGATCATCAAAGTCATAAGTTCCTTGTCGGTCAAGTGCGGATTGGCCAACAATCGTTCTCGTGTGGCAAACAGGGCTCGAGTTTCTAGGTATTCCACATAATGGAAGGAAACAGTGGATTTGGCACAGCAATCATCACCCTGGAGCAGTGTGGCGTAAGATTCATCGGCTCCAATCTTTTGCGCCATCTCGGCTGTGTGCTTGTTCATGTACCACTTGTCGACGCTTCCAGAAACAGACCGTGTCAATGGAAAGGCATGAAACCTGTGAAATTTGCTGTCTTCTCGGGTATCAATAGCAGTCACATTGAGTGCTTCTTTCAGGCAAACGGCTGACATGACGCCTGGGTTGCCTTGCAACCATTTCGATTTTCTATTGTTGGGGTCCAGAGTACAGTGCGGGTCTGTCCCTTGCCAGGCTTTGACCAGCTTCTTCATTGTGTTGCGACTAAGTAGATACCCAGCTGCACCACTATTGAATACGTCATTGTCGGATTTTAAGGCGTGTCCTGCATACAAGTCCATTGCTGGATCAAAATTTTGTAGGTATTTGCAGAGGTGTTCTGGAATGACAAAGGTATGGTCATTGACAAAAAAAGCAAAGTCCGGATTGACTTTTTCATGAACGGTTCGGATCACAAACTGTAATCTCGGGACTCCATTGGCATCACCAATTTCTTCTGGTACTTGAAGAGCTTGCGGGTAGCGAAAGGGATTTTCGGGTTGTGTCGCTTCCGAGATAATGGCATTGTGAACCATGGCAGCTGGGAATTCATGTGTGACATTGGAGAGAACAAAGATAGACCGTGCATGAGGTCCCCAGGTCTCTTGAATGGATTGCAAGCGGTTCGGTCTACCTTTGGGGTTGACTACCGATGGCATGACGACAGTTACATAAGAGGGCGGCCCCGAGTAGAAGTGGTGCTGGAATCCAGCCACATTTTCTCGTGACATAAATGCAGCACCACCATGAGCCCATGGATTCTTTATCACTTGCAGGAAGGCTCGTTTTTGGTGTCTTGGCAACAGGAAGATATACCCCAGCAAAACAACCACTGCCAGCAATGCTACAGCACTCATGGCTATCCCCACTTCATTCCTCCGTTTCCTATTGTTTTTGCTGCCGTCATCGCAATGTTCTTCCTGTTTTGGTTGGTCTGACTGAAGTTTGCGACGTACATGAAGATTTGATGTTGCCATGATGCAATGGTCTACCGTATCTGATGAAGATGATTTGTGCTTCACAGTAAGAGTATCCTTATCCTTAACTTCGTCACTTTGTCTACAGATAGACACCCGTGACAGTTGCATCTCCAAGCAAGAAGCACACCGACCTTCGGGATGGAGTTGGTTCCAGGCAGATCATGATAGGTCCCAGGCAGAGGAGAGACTGAACCGGCCTTCTGGAAGAACTACAACTACATCAGTACATCAGTCTTATAAATAGGCAGTATTTAGAAAGAAGAGCTAGTTTCGGCCACAAGAACATCCACACCCACAGAGATCCCTGGAACAGTCAAAAGACAGTCCATGCGGGCCACTACAAGGTAGCAAACTGGAAGGAACACAGGTAACATTGATGTTGCAGAGACCCTCTGGAATCACGCCTGTCAAGAGTGGATTCCCCTCGATTGTCAATGTATGGAGAGACTGACCTTGCAACACTGAAACTTCCCAAGGCACAGTCCCAGATAATGAGTTGTTGGCGAAAAGGAGACGCTCCACGGATGAAAGCTTTCCAAATTCACTAGGAATAGGGCCATTGAGGCTGTTCTCTTCCAGGCTGAATGACTTTGCTGAAACAAGGTTTGAGAGCTCAGAAGGAATTGTGCCAGTCAGGCGGTTTTTGCCGACATTAAAGCCAACTGTGATGGATATCATGAGGCCATATTCGCTCGGAATGGAACCCGATATTGACGTCTCACCAGCCTGAAGCAATGTAAGTGATGTCAGGAGGCCCAGCTCGCTTGGCAATGTCCCAGCAAGGCTGTTTTGATTGATAAGCATCAGCAAGATACTTGGAAGCATCCCAAGCTGCGATGGGACTGCGCCAGTCAACATGTTTCCATTCAGTGAAATCCATTCAAGATGCTGCAACTGGCCAAGCTCAGTTGGAATGGCTCCTATAACAAGGATCAAAAGTGAGATTGCTTGCGTTGCCAGCATGTCATGCATAGAGCTGAAAGCACATACCTGTGAGACCACAATCATCAATGACAAACCAGCGGAGCTTGGCAAAGTTACCAATCTGTGCTGGGATGGTGCCTTGTAAATCTGGCATGTTGCTCAGTATAAGGGATTGAAGATTGCTCATCTGCCACAGCTCCTTTGGTATTGGGCCACTATGATTGTTGTCACTCAAAACGAGAGCTCGCAGATTTGAAAGTAGGCTGATTTCCCGTGGTATTGCTCCACCATTCTCCATGAGCATGATTGCTAGCCCTTGCAGCATGGCCAGTCTTCCTACACTACTTGGGATGGTGCCATACAAGGAATTCAACCCCAGCGATAAAGTTTCCAGAGTTATCAACCAAAAGAGTTCATCGGGTATTGTACCAACAAGATTGTTTTGATTCAACCAGAGGTTTTTGTACATTCCATTGTCATGGCACATTGTGGGAGGTAGGTCTGTTGGAGGGAACATCTCCTCCAAGTAGCCAGGAAGACTCACAGAGACAGCTTTCTTCATTCCAAAGTCATAACTATTGTACCAGTCACACTCATGGATGCTGTGGTTGAGCCAGTGTCTTCTGTCTGTCCATGATTCTCCATTGGTTGCGTAGTAGAGTGTAACCAGAGCAAATCTTTGCATGATTCGGTCATGGTAGAGGGATGTTTGGTTACCAATGTCATCAACTAGCCATTGGAAAGCTTTGGATTGGGGTGACTGTGGTTGTCTCTTTATGGTTTCAACAGTTTCCTCTGGGAGTATTTGCAACAAGGAATCTTCCATCGCTTCCACATCTGATGGTCGCATATACATGGTAGAGGGTGTCCCCATTGATGGACGTGCATCTTGCCTTCTTGTTTCCTTTCTTGTCACTACCACTGCAATCAATACCACAACAGCAACAGCAACAGCAACGAGAATTACAGCCAGCTGCATCTTTCTTTTCAATTGTTTCATGGATTCTTCTTTCCTGCGTAATGAATCAACCATATCGAATTCGGCCGCCATTGGTAAATCTCGAGACGTGCCATCTTCTTCCACCAACTCAGCTACGGCCAAGCCACTTTGGGTCCTGGTGACCGAATTTCTCATTGGATTCTCGGTATGATCATTTTGTGCCGGTGGCAATGGCTGACTGTTGGAACTACATGTACTGGTATTAGTCAGGAACGATACGCGGTTGCTTCCTTCCGATAGTTGGTTGTCACTCTGACGCTCCTCGCAATAATCATGGGCTGACTGGGAAGGTTTGTCTTCCTCCAGAATGGACACTAGACTTTCATTGTCACTTGTGTCTTCCATGGGTCCCGTTGTGGCAACAATTCCCAGGAGAGAAAAGTGCGCCGTACTGTTTCTCTCCATCTTCTTACCAGGAGCTCCCGAGTATGCGCCTGGTTTTGGTGCCCCATCCGGCAGTGGCATCTGTTGCTTTTGGCTGTTGCAGGAAGCTGTAAGAGGTGTCGAATTGTCGCCCACGATGGTTTTGTCATCGAATGCCGGTCCTGTGGACTGCAGACTTTGACGAACTTCCGCCAGTTTTGCAATTTCATCCATACTAAGGATCTCACCGCTGGCGTTGGTGTGTTGGCTTGTATTGATAACAGTAATCTCACTTTGGCCATCGGTTTGCTTACTTTTACAAGCCTGCTCTTGTTGCGCTAGCTTCTGAGCAGCGGCATCTTGTGGGATCCTGGTGTGGTTGTCGTCCATCACGGAAGAAGCGCTCTTGGCCCGGCGGTCTCGAAGCGAACGTAGTTTTCCAGCCTCACTGTTTGTGTCCTCTAGTGACATGGTTGACATCTTTGCCGTGCTCTGTTCGGTGGTCTGTAGCTACTAATAGTACCGGTAGAAGAGGGATCAGGCAAACGTCAAAGGAATATACCTGCAGCATCAAAGGCCCAGATCCCAGATGTCTCTCTCCCTCTCTCTTCTTGTTGTTGTTCGCGACCTGCTAGCAGCGGGCTGGTGTTACCTGGTGGCCCGATAGCAAAGCAGACGGAAGAGGCTTCCAAGATGCGTCTTCATTATTTCTGCTGTTGAAACAAAGAGATCGATGTGGATCGTCGATTGATAATAATAAATAAATAAATAACTATAAAGGGAATTACGTGAAATAAAGACCAGAATGTTACAGCTGTCACATAGCAGGGGAAAGGCCCCTACCCCCACACAGTAAGGCACTTCCACCTTCCACCAGGGAAAATGCCAGTCACAGGGCCTATCCCGAGCGTGAACAAAGGGAAACAGCACCATTTCGAGTAACGCGGAGAGTAGCATTTTGAGTAGGAAATGTTACTGCTTTTGCCTATTTGAGTTTGGCGCATGTTACTATTAATAGCTTAAGTCTCCGATTAGGTTGCCCTCTACTTAACCATCGCCAGCCATCTGTTCTCACATGAATGGCTCGCATCGTATGTTCTTGTCGATTCTCCTCATTTCCTCATTATCGTGGAAGATACTAGTACCAGCATGCCGTCAATGACAGGAAGAGTTCCTGTTGGCCGCAGCCCATTCTCGTTCGATGAGGAGGAAGATGATGAACCACCACCACCACCACCAGAATCGCCGCCAAGGATAGAGATCGAAGAAGAGGAATGGCAGTATCCTGCCCACCACAAGTGTCAGGTCTATATCATGGAATTGATGAGTCACATGCACGGCCACATTACCAACAAGTACCTTCGAGCAAAGACATACACTATGGCCGAGCTATTATCTGTGAGACCCCACCATGTGAAGCGCTACTTGGAGTGGAAGGCATATGGCAAGACAAATCCTGGTCCAACTGATTATCCAACAAAAGCAAGAGGTGGTTCGCTCAAAAAGTACAAGCAAGCAATCTCCAGGTTCATGCCGAACAAGAATGCGGCATGGATGGACTTCCCCAATGGAACTAGCGGTGGAAATCCAACAAGATCTACAGCAGTTAATAACATGTTGGTCCATGCTGAAAAGTTGGAAACTCGAGGCCTTGGAGTGGATCCCAATGACAAGAGAGCTTACACGCACATGGAGTTCATGAAAATTATTAAGATATCACGGCGACAACCTGATTTCAACCATAAGTACAAGTATGTAGCCATGACTTTGTGGGCCAACCATTTGATTCACAGAATTGATGATACTTCTCATTTCAAAATTGATGCCCCTCATGGCGACACCAAGTTCCCCTTTGTGCTGAAGATCAAGACGTCATGGTCAAAGAATGTTAAGACCACCAAGAACTGTCCAGATCAAATTATGATGGCATCAGCAAACTGGGAGACATGTGTCATCTTTAATTACGCGGTCTACTTGGAGCAGTGGTTACATATGCATCCGAGCGCAGACAAGCTGCGCTCGCCCAGAGCAGCTAGACATGACTAGTAGAGGATTAGGTGAGTGGAGAGACTCGGCCATTTTGCAATTTACTGAGCCGACCGTCTCCAGTCCCCGGGGTACCATTCGGGACTGGGGAGTCCCGGATGGATCCCACATGGCAAAAGGGAGTCCCGGGAATGTGATGTTCCACGGGACAGCCTTGAGTCGTGCAACCAGGGAGGGAGCATCTAAGAAGCGCATAATGGGGTCTCGCGAAAACAGCGAGGTCTGGAAGGTACCGAACGACATGCGTCCCTAGGCGATTGGTGACGTCATTGCTCCCGGATTTGGATGGTGTTTGTTGTGGAACATGTACTGGGTTCTCCATTGGGTGTGCAGTATGCACCGCTTTTGTCCCTAACCCTGCATCGCATTCCCAGAGGATCAATTCCACCCCATAGGTACCGACCAATTTTGTGGCCCCGTTTTGTCCCCTATGCCATACCAATGAACATGGAAACTACATACAGAATCGGGTACAGAGCGGTTTGGGGGTTTAGTTTGGGTTGGTGTTGTGAGTTGTTTTTTTCAAGTTGTTGTGTTTTTGTGTAGTTTTTATTTTTTTTTGTTTTTAGAAGTTGGGTTGTTTTTTGTTTTTTGTGGTGGGTTTGTTTTGGTTGTTTGTTTTGTTTTTAGTTGTTTTTTTGTTGTGTTTTTAGGGTTGCTTTTATTTTTTTTTTTTTTTTTTTTTTTTTTTTTTTTTTTTTTTTTTTTTTTTTTTTTTTTTTTTTTTTTTTTTTTTTTTGTTTTTTTTGGTTTTTTTGTTCTTTTAGTGTAGTTTTGTTTTTTTTGTTTTGGTTTTTTGTTTTTGTGTGTTTGTTTTGGAGTGTGTTTTGGTGTTTTATTGTGTGGTTTTTTGTTTTTGTGTTTTTTCTTGTTTTGTAGTTTGTTAGTATGGGGTTGTTGTTTTTTCTTTTTTGTTTTTTGGTTGTTTTTTGGTAGTTTAGGTTTTGGGTTGTTAGTTGGGTGTGGTTGTTTTTTTTGTTGTTTTTTTTTTTTGGTTTTGTGTTGGTTTAGTTTGGGTGTTTTTTTTTTGTTTGTTTTTTGTTTGTTTGGTTTTTTTGGTGTTTGTTTTGTTTTTTTGGGTGTGTGTGTGTGTGTTTTGGTGTTTTGGTTTGTTTTTTTCTTTTTTTTTTTTGTTAGTAGTTTGTTTTTTTTGGTTGGTTTGTTGTTTTTTGTTGTTTGTGGTGTTTGTAGTGGGTTTGTTGTTGAAGTGTTTTGTTGCTTTGTTCTGGTTGTTGGTTTTTTTGGTGTCTAGTGGTACGTTGTTTTGTTGTTTTTGTTTTTTTTTTTGTTTGTGGTTTTTTTTTTTTTTTTTTTTTTTTTGTTTTTGTTTGTTTTTTCCTATATATCTTTTTTTGTATTGTGTTTTTGGTGAGTGTTTAGGTTATTTTTTAGTGTTTTTTTTTATTGTTTTGTTTTTTTGGTTGTTTTTTGGTTGTTTTTGTTTTTTTTTTGGGTTTTTTTGTTTTTTGTTGGTTTGGTGTGGTTTATTGTTAGTTCTTTGTTTTTTTTTAGTTTAGTTTTTTTGTGTTCTGTTTGTTTGTGTTTAGGTGTCGGCATTTGTGTGTCAGTTTGTTGTGTGTTGTTTGTGGTTTTATTTTGTTGGTTAGGTTGTTTTTTTTGGTGTTTTTTTTTTTTGTTAGTGGTTTTTTTTTTTGTGGTGTTTTTGTTGTTTTGTAGTTTTTGTTTTTTTGGTTGTGTGTTTTATTGTTTTGAAAGTGTTTTTTTTGGTTTTTTGTTGTTTTTTTGTGTTTTTGTGTGTTGTGGTAGTTGGTTTAGTGGGGTTTGGTTCGTTTTTTGTTTTTTTTTGGTTTTTTTTTGGGGTTCTGGTGGTTTTTGGAGTTGTTGTTTTTTGTGTGTGGTTTTTTGTGTGTTGTTTGTTTTTTGTTTTTGTTTTTTTGTTGTTTGTTTGGTTTTTTTTTTTGTAGGGTTTGTTGTTTTTTTTGGATTTTTTTTTCGAGGGTTTTTTGTTTTGTTTCTTATTCTTGTGTTGTGTTTGGTTTGGGTGTGTCTTAGTTTGTTTGTTTTCTTTTGTGTTTTTGGTTTTTTGTGTAGTGGTTTTTTTTGTTTTGTTTTGTTTTTGGTTGGTTGTTTGTTTGGTTGTGTTTTTTGTTGTTTGTTTTGGGGTTGTTGGAGTCTGGTTTTTCTTTTTTTAAGTTTGTTTTGTTGTTTTGTGGTTGTTTTATTTTGTTGTTTAGGGGGGTGGTTGTTTTTTTTTTTTGTTTTTTGGGTTGTTGTGGGGTTGTTTAGTTTTGTTTTGTTAGTGTTTTGGTTTTTGTGGGTTGTCTTTTATGTTGGTTTGGTGTTTTTTTGTTTGGTTGGTGGTTGTTTGTTGTTGGTTAGTTTTTTTTTTTGTTGTGGTTTTTGGTAGGGTGAGGGTTTTTTTTTTTTTTTGGTAACCACACTCACTATTTTGTAAGGTCGTGTAGACTTTGCCTAAGGTTTACAGTTCCTTTATAGGGCTAGCATCCGGCAATACTACTAGTAGTACTACTCTGTTGTATCATGGGTTATTGGTATTGCGACTACTGTAAGCTTGGTTTGAAAGCAAGAGGGCACTAAGTGCTCACACAACCAATCTCGGAGTTGCATTGCAGCAAGGCAGATTTCACTTGGCATTGGCAAAGCAACAAGAAGTACTAGTACTAGGAGAAAAAGGGACATGACTACTGCAGGGCTTGGTGCCACTGACACTGGAAGACCCGCAAAGCACCACGGCAAGTTAAAAGATCTGCAGGAGAGGAAGAGAGGCACATCAAGTCAAATGCAGCCATTCCACAAGACATGGTGGAGGAAGATCAAATTGCTTGGGCCATGCAAGATGGTGGTGGTATTGGTTCTGAAAGCAGGAAGACAATAGAAAACCAGCAGCTGACCGCGGTTTGGTACCCGAGATGAAGGCAATGAGGAAGCAAAAGAGGAGGCAGTGAGGAAGGAAGTGACACGATTCGCAAGAAGACACAGATATGATGATAGTAATGAAGATGATGATGAGACCAGCAGTGGTGGATCAACAGCTACCCTGGTACAATTCCCAAGGAATGGAACCATGACAATGAACCTCCAGACGATAGGAACATCAACCAATTCCGGCAATATTGTGCAGATTCAAAGAAGACGTTCCTCCCCTTGGATAAGAAACAGGCTCGGGGTGTCAAATTGATGGATATCCTTCGAAAGAACAAGGCGCCTTTGACTGCGTATTATGATGTGTTGACATGGACTTGGATGAAACTGGAGCCGAATTGGGTGACGAGAAGCTTGGTGGGTTCCGGAGTACTTGAGCCGAAAAAGTTGATGAGCTTCCTCATGACAATATACAACATGGGTGGCAAATTCCCTTTCACAAAAGACCTTGTGCTTCCACATTCAGGTGCTAACATCAGGTGGTGTGCCACGATGCTCGCCATTGTTGTGTGTGGCAATTG